GATGACTGGGCGAGGGCGGTCATCAGCAGCCGCAGGTGGACCAAACGTGCGGTGGGCACGGTCAATGGAGATGACAGAGACGGATAAATGTAGAAGTTTCGGGATAAACTTTTCAAAAAATAATACGGGGTTAGACCCTTCCACAGATTCTCTCAGGTTCAAAATGCGTAGATTATCCCTCCTTGAGCGAGCCTGGAGATCCAAAACTTGCGAAGCTAGCTCTGAATTGGATTTAATCAGCTCATTCACTCTGGCCTGCAGCGGCGTCATGTCGTCCTCCAAAGCGGAGATGCGGCTCTCAGCCTCCGCCTGGCGAACCCCGATAGCGTCGCACGAAGCCGCCACTTCGTCAATGCGCTTGATAACATTGTTAATTTTACCATCAAGGGACAGCTCCAGCTTGGCGATTGACTGATCCATGGCTGTTTGAGAGCGCCTTGCCTCTGCCGCAATCGTTTCAGAGATGTGTTGTAGCAATGTCTCGTTAGCTAGCTCCGTGGTGTTAGCAGCGAGGCCAGCTTCTCTGGACAACTCCGGAAAATCCTCTGTAGAGTCACGGGATGGGTCATTTCGTGGCGTTTTTGGGGGCTTCGGCATCGTTAAAGCTTTACTGGTTAATTTTTAGCTGAATAGATGCGAATTCGAGCGGGGAAGATTACATTTCCAAAATACAGACAGGGAGTAGACAAAACCACTTGCTATCACATCGCCGCCATCTTGAGACCACATATTTACGAACATTTATGGTACATTGATCATGCCCCCTATGGACCAATGGCTCCTGTGTTATACAAACATAAATGGAATTAAACTGAAAGGATAAGATCCAAATGATTTTAGGACAGGCATGTCCAAACTCAGGCCCGGGGGCCAATTGCGGCCCTCAGTGTCATTTTATGTGGCCCTCTGCCTTGCTAACCCAAAGTAGTTCACTGTGACATCCATCCAGCTCAGCCAATAAAAACATGTTGTAACTCGTTCTTAAGGCCATACGTCTGGAATTCAGTCGTTTGTATTTGTGTCACAAACTTCCGTTAAAGGTGCTACTGTAGCTGGTGAGAATGTAAAGATGTGTCATTCAGCCAACTTCAGCTCTGTTATAGAACATTTTAAAGCTCAGAACAGCCCGATGCCAGTCAAGACAGTTTTTCAGTCCGTGACGTCGGCCCCTGGACTCGTCTGGTGAATTAAAGTGACCCTCTTACTAAAATTTTTGGACACCCCTTATTTAGGGTGAGGAGCTTGGCGTAGAGTTGTTGCTCCTCCATGTCGAGGAACCATGGCTTAGGCATCTGTTTCGGATTGCATTTCCCATCAGGATCCAGGACACACTAAGTCCCTCAGCTGGCCTGGGAACGCCTCGAGATTCCACTTGATGAACAGGAGGAAGAGTGACTGGACGTCTCTGCTCAGACTTCTTCCTCCGTGATCCTGCATCGGCGACAATATTCTGTGAGACGGCAAAAATAAACCTTGCAAAAGTGAACAAACTTCCAAATAAACACCAGCCTTAATTGTCCTGCTGTTCCTTGTGTAATACTGTTTGTGTCAGTGAGTTGAGCCAAAGCCGTGCGCCCCTCTGCCTCCCTGCAGCCCCTGGGAATGGCTCTGTCCTCTGTGCTGAATTAGAGATAGCCAACAGATGCTCCCTGGTGTCCGCAGCATGCCCAAAGTCTCCAGAATGTCCTTGTTTATTTTTGATGCACGGGTAAATGGAGCCAAAAGCATGATTGTAAAAAATGCATGTCCAAAATGTTCTTGGCCTTCATACAGTGGTGTCCCAGAGTCAAAGAATTTAAAAAAGGTCTTCGTATATACACGAAGACCAGACTGACTTGGATACTTACTACTTACGACTTACTTAATAAAAGTTCTGATCTTAAAGTCTATACATGCAGCTTCTGGAGCCTTGCACCGCAGTCAGACTCCCATCGACTTGTTTTGCCTCAGTCTTTCCTGTGCTATAGACCCACTGAGACCTGCTCTGCTGTGCCATCAGTAACCTATACAGCCCTGCATGTCAACTCACAAGTGACTGCCACAAATATCAGACAACCCGGATGAGACACTTTATCACATTTCATTGCTTTTCAAACGTATTCCAAGACAAGGACAATGTGATTTATTATTTATACTGCCACAGCCATCTTATCCCTCGCAGTGGCATGGAGCAAGCTAAAAATAAACAATTCATTTAGGACTTCTAAGCACAGATAATGGAAACGTTGAGTATGATGAGCTTAGACATCTTTTGAAGTCCAATGAATATGTAACATTATTTGTTCAAAAGACTAGAGAGTTCAAAGAAGAACTTGTGTCCACATAATAGTTGGTACGAGTGTCTTCACAACAGTGCCCTGGGTCGTGTGTTTCTGTTCCTCTCTTTAAAGTAATTACAGGTCTGTGAGCAACGGGAGTCTGGGTTACAGGACAAGGTTACCTTGCCAGGCTGCTTATCATGTGGAAAGTGGCCTGCATGGACAAAGCAATTCAGAATTTTATTATCATTCAAATTAGAACATATAGAGGGCCTACTATCCGATTGGTGAAATAATGGGAGTCATTTATCTAGCTCTCAGCGACCTTTCATTTTCCATTCATGTCTTATTAGTGGAGCATACATCATCATTCTGCTGTAATTAAAAAGAAAAAAATCAAATTGATTGTGAGTAAAAATGTGGAAGCAGGTAGATAGTTGAAGTAACTCATGTGACCTGTGGTGCTGCAGTGGACAGTCCGGTCTGATGTCCACAGAGAAGCACATTACATCCACAGTGATGAATGCTGCATGAGAACCATGGGAAGGTGGTGCACCCTTAGTCATTCTGATGTATTTATGAAAAAGCAAATCATGAGGCACCAACGTGGGAAACGAGATTAGTCGTGGTTGTTTTTATCCATTAAGTTGTTATTTCTGTCTCAAAATGTGTTGGTAAACAGAGGCGATAGGCAGCATATCAAATTGCAGAAGATTGTAGAAATATTCAATGGAAATTGAAACATTTGTACCACTAAGGGAAGAACTGGAAGTCATCTTCACAAAACAGTAAGGGGTATAGTGTTTCAAAGGTTTGCCTGTCATGACCATTAACATTGGAGTAAACTGATAGATGATGTGCACATGCTGGAACCACGAATAATCCACCCAAAACGTTGGCCTCTGAATTGATAAATGCAGTGAGATGCAGATGGAAGCAAAGGGGAAGTAGTTAACCACACATCATATGTTCAATGAGCGTAACTCAATATTGTGTTTCCTATCTCTCTATCCACCAGGGGTCCAAACACACAAGACAAATGGAGTAAGAGTTACCCTCAGAGTGGCCCTAATGAGAAATCTGTTCATATTCTATCTACAAAATAGAACCAAACTATTCTCCCCAAAGCCCTCTTAAATGCTAATTGAATAGTGATGCAATGCCTCAGGCATCTTGTTGTCAGCTCATTTGAGTGGTGATTTATCTCAATCCGTCATACAATTCTCACTTTTTGGCACGCTCTCTATGAACTGCTCAATGTGCCATTGGAATTCGTTTTCATAAGTCCCTGTGCTGTGCTGCCTTGTTGCCAGAGTTCCACTATACTTTCTATGTCAACACAATGTGGAGAGATTAGTTACTTTCACACACATTCTTTGTACATTCAGCACTATCTTCTTTTTAGCTTGTTATTACTCTTTCTGCAGCCTTTTCACACACAAAGAGGTCTGTTATAGTAGTGTGATTGGAATAACCTCTGGCTAAACATATTTAATCGTTGTTCTTTGTCATGTGAAAATGGATTCTCCAGAAACATAACAAAGTCTTATCTCACTGGTGCACTAATAAAAATGATGGATAACATGGGTGGGCTGTATGATTGGAGACAATTGGATTTCACCCACATTATGTAATTCAAGTGCTGCTTGGAGAAGGAGCTGCAGTCTCAGGTTGCTCCTTGAGCTTCACCAAACACAGGCTTATGAAGACACTGGCACACAGGGACTGGCCAGGGGCTCACGGCGGCTGCTCCCAACCAGAGATGACGCAGAAGAGATCCGCTTTATGAAAGAATACTCATGAGTTATGGTGACCATATGACCATAAATCATGGTTTGACATTTTTTTGTTAGCTACAAGTACTTTCTACACATTTCTAAAACTGTAGAATTGCTATGGCCATAAATACGGGTTTAAACACAATATAATACATTTCAAAGCAAGACACAGTCAACTAAATACTAGTTCATATTTTTAAAAGTAGGCTCAAGACGCACCTTTTTAGAGTAGCTTTTGATTAGTTTTTATTATTCCATTCTATTTATCTTTTATTATTTATTATTTATTATATTGCTATTGCTATTATTCATGTATTGTGTGTTCCTTTTAGTCTCACATTTTAGTGTTTTACTTATTGTATTGTTTTTAGTGTACCCAGTGTTTCCTCTGGAGGAGCCCTCTGCACCGGGAGCAGTGGTCGGTGTGGCTGCGGGGGTCGGACTCTTGGGCCTGGTGGGGGCCTGGGGCCTCGGTTTCATGTCTCCTCTGGGTCCTGTGTCGTCCCCTGTGGCTACGGGCGGCTCTCTGCTCCTGGTGCAGACGGCTCCTTGGATGACGCTTTTTCAGCTGGTTGCATCTGAACCCTACCAAGTCTCTCATCATGTTTTTATTGTTTTACTGGTGTGTGTGTGTGTGTGTGTGTGTGTGTGTGTGTGTGTGTGTGTGTGTATGAGTGTTCATGAGCGCGTGTGTGTGTGTTTGTCTGTGGTTTGGGGGGGGTCTGTTGGGTGGTCTGGGGGAGGGGTCTTGGGTCGGCGGGATTGTTTTTTAACCAATCTGTAAAGCACTTTGTGTTGCATCTTATGTATGAAAAGCGCTTTATAAATAAAATTTGATTGATTGATTGAAATAGCTTGACATCAAATATATCCCCAACATAGCAGAATAGCACAATCAGGAATTAATGAAAACATTATAGATGCAATAAAATGAGATTTATGCATTTATGAGACATCTTTGAATAACCAATAACATTGAGAATGCAAGGCCTGTGAAAATATCTACAGACACGAAACACAAAGCTTTTGGTCGAGCCTTGCATGCTTTCAGTCCCCCTCTTCGTCTCTCATGTGCCTTTTTACCGCAGCTCCTCTCAGTGTGTGGCTGCAGGTTAATTATAATAATATTCTGATCGCTATATGAGGCTATGTGCATTAGCGGATAAACAACAGATTTCTACCTTTCGCTCACAGCAGGTTGGGCATAATGTGTGGAATGTTAAGTGTAATAATGACTTATGACACAGAGCAGAGCAGCTATAACAGGCCGTGTACGTGCTTTGAGGAAAACAAATAACCGCATGCTCTGTATGTGTAAGCGGACCACATAGTCTTTGTGTCCTCATCTGTGTTAAATTTAAACATGTTCCAGTATTTCAGAGGAAGCAGGTTTTTAAGCACCCACTCAAATACATGAGTCAGAGAAGGCCAAGTATGAAAGAACGCAACCTTCTGGGTTTTAGATCGAATGCCGGAGTGGAGAAATCCATGTGATGCAGGTTATTGATACTTTGAGAGTGGGATCTCAAGGACAAACTAGTGCAGTCATGTTGATTTCAAG